GATCCAGGACAAGCGCGATCACATTACCCTCTCTCGCTGTGGAGCATATCGATCCCGAGCGTCCACACGGCAGCATGTATCGGCCTTTTTTTTCCTCTTCCACAGTTTGCGCATGCGCTGAACAACATATCCCGAAAAGCATGCCCTGAAGCGAACCCTTCCCTTTAAACTTTTACAAGTAAACTGGCCTCCGTGAGGTCCCGGACTGGTCTAAAGCCGAAAACTAAGCACCGTTTCATTATTCGTTCTATTAACGCCGGGGCGAAGCTTCGCCCAAGCGCACATCGCCGACACTAAAATAAAATGGCGGACAAAAAGCAGAAGCCTCGGGCTTCTGAGTGGAAGTGGCTCTACACAGGGGGAGGCGCAATCACACAGGGGGGAAATGCAGCTACAACTGGAACACCAGGAAAACACCACTTGGGGACCTGGTAGCAAAATACTCCGGTTTAAAGGGTGTTTGGGGCGGTTGGGGACGGGAGGCAGATGTTGGCTGTGTGATCGCGCGTAAGTAGTCCGTTTCCAACTGGCATGTAAACCAGCTCAAATGGCCCGTCTGAACGCACCCCATGTCTGTAATCCTCAAGCCAGCCCTGTAAGGTAGACAAGCATTTTAACTCCCATATTGCACATACGAGGCTAAGCGACTTGCTTGCTTAAAGCCACCTGTTGAATTCACACAAGACAGATTCATCCAGAAGAAAGTCCCACGGAGTTCAGTGAGACTGAGCCACATCAGCATGCACAGGAATACAGCCCTAAGAACTGAACGTGGGATTCCCTGACTGCCAGCTCAGTTCCCTCGCTGCTGTACTTCAGCCGCTTTGAAGCCATGGGGGGGGGGGGGGTAGGACAAGAGAACATACCATTGTCTTACATTCAGGATAGCATTGACTGTACCTCGTTTCCATAACCAGGATTATTGTGGTTGGAAACATAAGCACATGTTCTTTTGAGGCTGAGCATGACTAATGCTTTCCTCAGCTGCTGATGAAAATAGGCTCAGTTTATCATTCTAAGAACCGGCTTTGCTTGATACCCTCTTAAGACGTCTCTTTTTTCTGCCGTTTTAAAGAGCTTTGAAGATAGATCATGCAGGTGTGCTTTGGTTGGCAGGTTGCTCCTGGAGAGCCATTGAAGATTTTATTCATGCACTGGGGAGGGGGAATATCTCAACTTTAGTAACTTGACAGCCTGATAGTGCTCTACCTTGGCCGTAAATCTGCATGTGATCATCCTGGGGAAATCTAATAGAGGAATAAATGGTAGGTTTTTGGCAACACCTATATACTCTTAAATGTCATCTTTCTAGCTTTGTGTAAAGCCCAATGACTTGTGAAAGCTTTTATTAAGTATTCAGATCATGTACTATGCAATCATAGCTGAAGAAGTGAGCAGTGACTCATGAAAGCTCATAGCCGACCACAAATTTTGTTATTCTTTAAGGCGCTACTGGACTCTCTTTTCTACTGCTACAGACAGACTCACGTGGCTTGATCTGTCTCCATGGAAGACACCACGTTTAGTCATACAGAATATACATTCGTAGGCATTGTAACATACAAGGTTGTTGATGATCCAGTATAATTTGTCACCTGTTCTTTTGGGTTTTAAGTGCTGGTTAAGGACATATTTTGCTTTCTCGAGTCTTTGGTGAGCATTAGTGTTAGCTGATGGTTTTCTTACTCTTGCTCATTTTAACTACTCTACTGCTGCATTAATCTTCTTCCTATTTCACTTCTGGTTTGCCATTATGTCAATAAGGATGTTGCAGAGTTGGAGGAAGTACGGAAAGGGGCAAGCAAGATGATTAGCTGGAGTTGAAGCACCTTTCCCATGTGGAAAGGCTAGAGAGTAAGGTACTTTTCAGTTTTGAAAAGTGGTGACTAAGGAGGAACATGATAGAGGCTTATAAAATTATGCAATTACGTCTGTTTTAAGTATTTTTAAGTCTTATGAGCAACCATGAGAATGTCACTTTTGGAGCAATTAATAAATGTTTTAAATAATACATTTTTTCAGAGGAAAAGAGGCACCTGTAGGCTTTAAAAACAACTTCATACATTGCATTAGAACAGATAAAAGGAAGTACTTCTTCACCCAAAGAGTAATTAACATGTGGAATTCACTGCTGCAGGAAGTGATGGCAGCTACAAACATCAGCAGCTTCAAGAGGGGATTAGATAAACATATGGACCAGGGGTCCATCAGTGGCTATTAGCCCCAAGGTATAGATAGGAACCTCCTGCCAACCTAGCAGTTCAAAAGCAAGAAATTGCAAGTAGATAAAGAGGTACCACTTCGGTGGGAAGGTAACAGCGTTCCGTGCGCCTTGGTGTTTAGTCATGCCGGCCACATGACCATGGAAACGTCTTCGGACAGCGCTGGCTCTTCGGCTTTGAAACGGAGATGAGCACCACAACCCTAGAGTCGGATTTGACTGGCTTTTGAGCAAGGGAACCTTTACCTTTATAGATAGGAACACTGTGTCTGGGGTTGTGATGCTCTGTATACTTTGTGCTTGCGGGGGCCACAGTTGGAGGGCTTTTGGAGTTCTGGCCCCATTGGTGGACCTCTTGATGACACCTGGGTTTTGGCCACTGTGTGACACAGAGTGTTGTAGTGGACGGGCCATTGGCCTGATCCAACAGGGCTTCTCTAATGTTCAGTTAACATGAAGCAGGCACCACTCCTTCTTGAAGTAAAGTCACTGGCAACCAAATGATCACAAAAGCATCAAAATCAGGTCCCCAGCAGAGGAAAGTAAGATTTGCTGTTTACTCAGATGAAGACTGAACATGCTCCAGGAGGATGAGAAATGGTTAATTACTTATTTATCAAAAAAATTATCCCATCTTTCTCCATGGATCAAGGAGGCTTATAATACATAATTTAAACACCAAACAACAATAAAGCCCCCAACCCACCCCAACCTAACAACATGCAATAAAATGTAAAAATTTAGAAGTTAAAGAGGGGAAAGGAGACTGAGGATATTAGCCTGTTCAAGTCCCTGAGAGCCTGCAGAATCCCAGAGGGAGAAAGTTTGGAAGTGGGGCACAATTCCTTACAGCTCCCATTTTAATCTTTAAAAGCCCATTTAGGTCATGCATTTGCCCACTTGCATTGAAAAGCCTGGTGCTAGCCACAGCCAGGAATATTGATCACTGGCATGGAGAAAAGCAAGATATATTTTTCAAAAGTTATGGCCACTTCATGAAATGCTGCCAGCAGTGACATCTAGATGAGAATCATAATGTTGGGATTATAATTCAGCTCACCCCCCCCCCTCTCGTGAAGATCCTATGAAATGCCAAAAGTCTGTGTTCTTCACACAGGTTAGTGGAATAAACCATCTTATTTTAATTCTCAACATATTGGGAAATGAAAACTTGTAACCACTAGATGGCGCTGTGTACTTAGAATGCCTATATTACATGATTTCAAAGTTGGGTGAAAGGCAGGGTTGCCAGAGCCCCATGATTGCAAAGTTGGGTGAAAGGCAGGGTTGCCAGCTCCAAGTTGGGTAAACTTGGGGGGCCTGAGCGGGGCGGAGTTTGGGGATGCCACTGTCCAAAGCAGCCGTTTTCTCCAGGTAAACTGATCTCTTTTGCCTGGAGATCAGTTGTGGGAGCTCTCCAACCATCACCTGGAGGTTGGCAACACTAGAAAGGTGGGTAGGGACTGAGAGTCCTTTTCAAGCCCTCAGCTTTTCCAGGGGAAGGGGCTGCTGTGGGAAGGTTGTCATTTTATGTGACTATTATCGTAGCGGAGCCACTGTGAGGAAGCAAGCAAAAGGCACGCTGCACATGCTCATAGACAAGAGAAGCGATAGTACTGCTATCAGAATTTTATCCCCATCCCAAAGGGGGGTGGTGGTGGTTAGAAATAAAATTTCAGCAGAGTTAACCATTTTGCTTTACTATTATTCGAAAGGCCAATTTACAAAGACCTAAAATTTCCCTTTAAACTCATCCTATTATGCTTTGCAATGTGTGTTGTGGAAGGGGTAATCACTTGAGCAAGTCCATCCTGTGCACGCTGACTCAGAAATAATCCTCACCGAGTTCATTTGCGCTCACACCTTAGCAACAGTGCGCGGTACGGCGGTCAGAGTGTCAGACTAGGTAGACCCAAGTTTAAAATCCCCAGACCAGTCACTCTGTCGCTTGGTTTCAGGTGGGTAGCCGACACCGTGCTGGTCTGAAACAGAAAAAGAAAGTTGGAGTCCAATGGCACCTTTAAGACCAACGCAATTTTAATTCAAGCTTTCGTGTGCAAGCACACTTCTTCAGATACAGTGAAATAGAATTTCCTTAACCATTACATATAGGCGGAAGACGGGGTGGGTGGGGTTAGTTGCCAGGATGGGCTAATTAAGAGTCAAGATTGATGTACGTTGCCCTCAGCTTCTTGGAGATAAAAATGTTCTAAATTTATAAGAAAAGAGTAAGTGCACATAAGACGGCAGCCTCTCAATTTAAGGCAACAGCCTCTTTCGTTTCACTTTCTCAAAGCTCCTCATGCAAATCAAGGCTAATTCAACACCACATCTTGCTTTTACCAACTCAGCGGACTGGCACGAGCAGTTCAATAACCTTCTCGCAGCCGAAGCCCCGCCTTGAGGTAGCCCAGGCCCCGCCCCTGTCTGCGCCCACCTGGCAGGTCGGTTTCCTTCACCCCAGAAGAGCTACACTTCAGGTTCTCTATGCAAAGTGAGGGTCAACTCATGCAAAGATCTCCGAGACGAGGAGCTATAGAGGTAAAAGATGGGTTCCGTTTCGGGAGCAAAACCGGTTAAAAATATGATAGTCGGGCGGATTAGAATCGATTCCTCACTCTTATCCCGCATAGGGCGGCGTTCGAGCGGACGCCGCAAGTCGAGACTGCGCGTGCGGATCTATCTCTATGGCTCTTCCTTCCCCGTTCCACTGGCATGGCCGCGCCCCTGCCTTCCCCTCGCGCGAGACTTGGCGCGAGCGGCCCTGCCCGGTCGCCGCAGCCGCTGCCTGTCTTGATGGCGTCCGACTCCGATACCGAGGAGCTGTTCTACGACGCGGCCGAGGATGTCGCCCAGCACGGAGGGACCCCCTCGCCGTGAGTCTGCCTGGAAGGGATCTGGGAGGGGAAATCCGCATCGACGGCCTTAATTCGGATTTGAATGGACCGGTCCTCCTGCCCAGCCTCACCCCTCCCCTTTATTGCCCCTGAGCGCAGAGGGCCTGGCCACACCGACCAGAGCCTAATCTACATCCGATTCAGACTGCGCAGAATTACTGCCCCTGCTCACCCCACCCCCTCTTTCTCAGTGTTTCTTAAGAAGCAGGGAGGGGAAGGGGGTACTTTAGAGAAGAACCCTCATCTGAATCGAAGTGGTAATTCGGATTGCGTTAAACCTCTTCTGGCCAGCCTCGTCCAACCCTTACTTCTAGGCTGCCTCGTTTTCTTTGATGATGGGTCAAGGTGGGAGCCGTGTCAGTCTGTCCATAGCAGCAGAAAAGAGTAGGAGTCCAGTAGCACCTTAAAGACTAACAAAATGGGCTTTCGTGAGTCACTGCTCACTCCTTCAGATACAGCCTCGTTTTCTCTGGTGCTTCCCTTTTTGCAGCCTTATTTTCGTCCATCCTCATTTACCTTCTGTCCATAGTCTTCTGCCCGCTTTGGGTATTTATGTATACTCTCTGCTTCCCTGGTCAGTGATAGTTTGGACTACAGTATATGGTTCATTTGCAACCTTCAGCCATCAATAGAACTTGTTTTAAAACTAGGAATGTCTCTTCTGAGAAAGGAGGTTTTACTCACTCTCCTAACTAGCTGGCCTTCTCATATGCAACAGGGCTGCTTTTCCCCCACCTTGAAATCTCCTCCCTGCAGAACAGAGATATAGGTCCCGGTCACACGGAGGGTTTGGGCCTGGTAGAGGGACAGATCGAGGCCGCAGCAAACGGGCGCGATCTCACCACAACATCTGGGAAGCGGCGTGCACCCGTCCCCGATCCATCCGAAACCCCGCAGCAAAAAAGAACCACTGACAGAGGTGGTCTTACCAGCGCGTCCTTCTGCCGGCGCATCCCCGGCTCCTGGCCAAACTGCGCATGCAGACGCATGCGCAGCTGGCTGCCTCGGTCTCCCGACCGTGGCTTCCTCCCCAGCACTTTGCCCCCCCCCCCCCCCCCCGGTGTGGCAGGGGCCATAGGAACACAAAACGCCCTAATATTTCTGAGTCTCCTGCCACATCTCTTTTCTCTGTTACCCTTTTCCTTGACTCCTACTTTCCCACTCTGTGGCATATGATTCTTGTCACAGAACTGTCCATATCTCTCCCTTATTGCTTTGCATGGTAGGCTTTTATTTACTGCCTGGTCCTTTGGGGTAGCCACACCTATCCAGTAAATACAAGGCAGTATTTTCTTGGGGAAAAGTGAGCAGGTCTCTTCCCCAGAGCAGCTCCCAACTTTAAATAATGGCTCACAGGGAACCAAAATTGAGGAAATAAAAGTCACCATCATGCTGCAGTCTTTTGTAGAGTGCAAAGGGGTTTATAATGTCTTTGAGCAATTTCTTCCATTCTGCCTGCCACCCCCTGCATCACTTTGACTTTTTTGTTCCTTCTCTTTTGTCTCCTTGTTTTACTGTTGCCCATTTTTGCAGGGCTGTGTCGGTTGCACTGCTTCTATTCTCCCCTTGCTATCCTATTCCATCCCTCGCTCGTCTGGACTTTCTCCCTTGAATCTTTCCTCAGTGCCTCTTTCCTCTTCCATGGCCCAATGTTGGAAGTGGAGGTGACATGGCTGTCACTCGCTCATACGAGAGGCACCTGGCTTTTCCGTTTCTTTTTCCTCTGCATTGTTCCTTCCCTGTCTTTTTCTTTTGCTGTCCCTGAGGGCTCCCCTTATCTGGAGCTGAACAGGTACCAGCAAGTCCCTTGTTGACATGAGTAAGCAGCTCGCTGGTTTAGCGCAGGTCCCCTCTGGTGGCCTGTCTTCTGGGCCCCAGGGTCTCTTGCAGGAAATGGGCATGTCAGGCCCTTCACTCCCATGTCAGTGGCAGGGCATGGGTGTTGTCACAGCTTTTGTTTTGATCTGTCACAGTGATGGGGCAGTGTGGCACAGGAGTAAATAACAGGTTGCTGGCCGGATGTGGAGCAGTCTGGCAGCTGGATTAGTGTGAGCGGAGGAGCCATTTCATGGGAGCTGTTCCTCTGTCTGCAGCTGGTGTTGATCAGAGGGGCTTTTGAGGCCATTGTTGGGAGGGGTGATGGTTGTGCA